AACAGCGAGAAAAGCAGGGGAAAACAGACGCCATCAGATCTGAAGGGGGAGAGGAGGAGGAAGGAAGAGGAGAAAAGAACTAAGATGTCTCCAAAGCATCCACTGTGCCACCCGCTTTACAGACAGACCTGCCTGAGGGCCCCAGAGACAAATCAGGGACTTCAGAGTAGAGGTTTGGGGGGTGGCCTAGATTTGGGGCTTCAGATAATTAAAGGTCCGAGCTGCTGGAAGGTGGCAGGGGCTGCCTGGGCCTGGCTCCCGGGGCTGGGCTGTCTGTGCTGCGGAGGAGGGTGCCCGCACTGTAGGTGGGGCTGCCCGGGCCCTGGGCGCTGGAGGCTGTGTAAAGATCCTGAGGTCTGCGCCCTGCCTCTTCCCTTTGGGCTTTGGCTGGGACAGGTTTCTCCCTCAGCATCATCTCCTCTCTGAGGCCTCCTGAGCCCAGCCTGACTCATTCCTCTGCCCTTTCCAGACTCCCCAGGAGAGAGGCCCGTGGCAGTCAGGGGCCAGGGCAGGAGTTGTGAACAGGTCCCTCTTCACCCTCAGCAAGAGGCTAGAAAGTAACCTGCTCCTGCCTTTTGGACAAAGCTGGTTTTGCTTGTTTATCAGGAAGAAAGCATTAAAAAGTGACAGTTAAAAAAAGAAAGGATAAGTTTCAGATGGGTATCTCCTCCTGCTCTTTTAAGCCTGGGTTCCAGGAATTTCAATAGGCAAATCCCAGCTCTGCCTTTTTTTTTACTAGCTGTGTGATCTTTGGCAAGTTGCTTAATCACTCTGTGCCTCAGTTTCCCATATATAAAATGGGGATAGCAGTATCTACCTCACAGGGTTGTTGTGAGGATTAAATAGATTATGTCTAATTATTATTATTGTTACCATTGGGCAGAAACCCTTTCACGTGTGGCTTTAGAAGAACTTGCTCCCATCCCTTCTTGGTCAGAGCCCTTCCCTGCCTTTAAATTGATCTTTGACGGCAATTTGCAGTATCTTTGAGCTCAGATATTTGCTAAGTGAATGACTGAGATTCTTACATCAGTACAGTGAAGGCAGTAGGACAGGATTCCTCTGTTCTTCACAGACGAGGAAATTGGGGTCTTTGGTGGGGGAGGCATGCAGATTGTCTGAGGTCACACAGTGAGTCCACATTAGAACCAGATCTAAGAGTAACCCTCCCATCACCCCCTCCCCGGCCCAAATCTCCCACATTTTCCACTTTACGTACAGCTTCCTCTTTTCACAATGGCCAGAATGATGTCAATAAGGAGTTGCTCAATTGCTTACAGGAACAAGGAATCCCCCACCCCCTAGCATGAGCCTCCTCCAGGCTGCCCCTGTCCAAAGCCAGTGGCTGTGATCCAGGAGCCAGGGCTGCCTCCCTCAAGGCCAGCAGAGAGGCAGCCCATCCTCCAGCCCTGCCTGCCTAGAGGCAAGTCCCTGCCCCTTTGGGCCCTGGGTTCCCCATCTGTGTGTGAAGGAAGGATGACATCTGTGGTTTTCATAATGTCTTCAAAGCAGGGAAACCCTTCCTTCGAAGGAAATCTTCAATAAAATCAACACATAGAAATGGAACCACCACGGCTGACCCAGCCCACACAGCTTCTCCCTGCAGACTTCTGAGGTCCCCCCTCCGTAGAAAACCCCTGGGCTAGTTGGTCGCTAAAGGATTTTCTCCTCTGGTGGCATCTGGTGCTAACAGATGTGGGCTGAGGGACACTAACATTCTTAGAGATGATGAGAGTGCTTGTGGAGGTCCCCATGGGCCAGAGCCCAGGCTGGGAAGGGGAGCGGGGGTGGGGGCAAGTGTGCAGCGTGGAAGAGAGGAAAGGGGAATTCAGAGCTGGGTTCAGGTCTGCTTGCTTACTTACTGGTCAATGTGTGAGCTTGGGCAATGTACTCGACCTCTATAAATTTATAAAATGCGTTGATAATAACTCTTTGTAGCACTGTTACAATGGTTATTAACAGAAAATGCCTAGCTCCCTGCCAAGCATGCAGTGGGAGTTTAATAATTGGTAATCACTATTATAATACTAGGGAGAAGAGGCTCCCACTGAGCCCAAGGCCATTCATTGCCTTTCTCTGCCACACCACACTGCACACTGAGGCCCAGAAGAGAGACCAAGGCTGGGACCTGGCAGTCTCCGCACACCAGGCCAAGCATCTTCTGGAATTTAAGCTGTGTCAGTTGTGTGATAATTTTAAAATAATGCCCATTATCCCAGTAGGCTCGGGGGCATATCTGAGGTTACAGATGAAAAAGAAACTGGCTCCTATGCACTGATAAGGAAACTGAGGCCCAGAAGAGGCAGGGTCTGATTCCTTATGACAGTCATCATGGAACCACATAGATCCCCTGCGTGCACAGACATCTGTGAGAGCTACCTGTCCTGCAGACACAGACAGGCTTGGCTGGTAGCCTGGAACTTCAAGGTTGGGTTTGTGCTGAACACCCATTGGTCACTGGGTCACCCAGAAAAGTCACCTTTCCCTAGGGGTGCTGAGGAAAGCCAGATACTATTCCGGGGACTCTCAGTCTTATGGGAGGAGACAAATGAAGTACATGTGGCTATGAAGGAGACAGGCCTGGGTTGGATTCTGGAAGATGCCTGGGTGTGTATGTCAGAGTGGGAGGGTAGGGGTGGCACCTAAATCAACCAGCTCTAACCTGCCTTCCTACCAGCAGTGAGAAGTCATTCTCCTCTGAAACCTGCCCAGGGCTGCACCTCCAGGCCTGGAAGACATCTCCGCCATCTTGCATGCCTCTGACCCTTCCCTCTACTTCCCAATAGGTTGTCACCAAGTCTGCTCAAGGCCACCATCTCGCAAATCCACTCCCTCCTCTCCATCCCCACCCCCCACTGCCCTAGATGCCTCTGTCATCTCTTGTCTGTGTGACTACAGTGGTCCCCCATCCTCCACCTCCACCCAGGCACAGCTCTGGTCCTGCTGCTTTTGGATCGGTACCTTTCAATGGCACCCAGGTCCCATAAAATAAAATCCAAATTCTTGAGCCCTCTGGGATTCGACCACCACCTTCAGTGGCTCCCATGCAGTGGAGATCTCTACCCTACTTGGGCTCCCACCATCTTTCATCTGCACCTGTCTTTTGGCTTGGATCACTTCCCAACCCCATACTGGAGCCAGGTGGTACCTGTTTGTCCCCCTAATCAGCTTTATTTATTCATTTCACAATCCACATAAACACTCTTGGGAACAGGGGCCATGTACTTCGTTGCACTGTGTCCACGGCTGGGGTGGAATGGGGGAAGAAAGGAGGGATGAACAGACAGAAGAGTGGGCACACAGCTGAATATTAGTAGTTCTGAAAACTGTGCCTTAGGGAAGAAGCCAGAAACAACTGATTAAGATGTAGCTGAAGAGAATTTGTGGGTTTTCTCCTAAATCTACAGAGAAAGGAGTTGATTTCCCAAGTATATATCTCAAAGTGCTCTCTCCCACCTGCCATACTTTGGCCCCATTTCCACCTATCATCCTGCTCTTTTAACTATATGACAACCCATTATGTCACCTTTCCATACCATGAAGCATCCTGCAGAACATATGGACCACCCTCATTACAAAGATGGGGAAACTGAGGAACAGAGAGGGAAAGGGCCTTGCTCAGTATCGCACAGCAAATGATTGGCACAGCCAGGGCTGAAGGCCAGACCTGCGTCTAGAGCCCGAGGTAAGGTTGATTAGGTTAGCACCAATGCCAGGGAAAGCCACTTGTTCCCCATGCTGGCATCTCCTGAGTCTGATCCTGGAGGACAGATCCAAGAAGGGACCTGGACGTACTCATCTGAGGCTGACAGCCCTGATAAAGAAGATTTCTGAACCCTGTTCAACGGCTGTTCATCAAGAGCCTCCTGTGAGACAGGAACGATGCTGAGATCAACATGGCCCAGATGGCTGGCATGAGGAGTCAGTGGGAAACAGGTTTATGGCTGAATACCGGTCCCAAGCCCACTGCAGGGAGAAGCAACAAAGAACACACTAGATGGGGTGGTCCCTCTGCAGGGGAATCAGGGATGGGCTCCCAGCCCAGGAGTTGAGCCTAGAAGGATGGGGAGGATTTTCAGGCTGGGGAGTGGGGGTGGTGAGTGCCGGGTAGGGAAACCCAGCAGAAGCGACTGGTGTGCAAGCCTCAGGACAGCTGGAGAGTAGAGTGCAAGCAAGGGGTGGTGATCAGCTCCTGGCGCCTGAAGGGAGACTGAAGAAATAGATCGTTTCACTCCGCAGACAATGGGGTGGAAGGTGTTAGGGAGTGGGAGGAGGAGATCTGCATTTTAGAAAGTTCATCCGTGTAACCACACCTGAACAGCTAAAAGAAGAAAATAAGTAAATAAAAAGAAAAAAATATATAAAAAGTCATCCGACAGCCAGTGGTGAGGACACACAGTAACAGGTCAGAGAAAAAGAGGGAGCCAGACTGAGCCTGGCACACGGGAGCCAAGCACAGATGGGCTGCTAGGGAGAGAAGAGACAACGAAAGAATGAAGAGGATGCTCAGAGCTGTCCGTAGGAGGGTTAAACGGGGCAAGAAGCTGTGCAGCGTGAGATGCTGCCACAGTTTGGTGGCTTTTTCCAACTCTAACTCAGTCCTCCTGAAACAAAGCAAAAGCCACGCCTTGGCCGAACGCGGAGCGCTAATCCCATCAGCGCCTGGAAGCCCTCCCTGACGCAATCTCTGGCTCGCAGACAGGGGGACCCTCCCTCGGTCTCGCCTTCCCTCCCTGTCTCCCCGTGGCCTGACGGTCGCCCCGGCTTCCTGGCGGCCCCGGAAACTGCCCGCGCCGCGCCTCGGGGCGCTTCGCCCGCGCACCCCTCCATCCCGCACCAGGGGTCCCACATCGCAGCCCGAGCAATGTCCCGCGGGACGAGGCGGCCCCTCCCCCGCTCCCCGGGGACCCCGCCGCGACGGGGGAGGGTGAGCGCGAGGGCTCGGGAGCACGGGGCTCCGAGTCCATCCCGCATCCGGCGCCGCCGCCCTGCGGGCTCACCTGACTTGCCCATGGCCGGCTCCGCGCGCTGCTGGCTCCCCGCGGCTGCGCTGCGCTGCGCTCCCGTCCGCCGCGCGCCACTCGGCGAGCCCTGGAGGGGGCGGGCGGCCGCAGCCCCTCCCCCGGCGCCGCCCGGCCCCGCCTTATAAGGCAGCGACAGCTGCAGGCGTAGGCGCCCGGGGCCACCCTGCGGGCCGCGCGGAGAACCAGCCCCGCGGAAGGCGCTCCGCCACTGCCCTGGGCTCCCCAGGTGCGGACACGGAGCCCGGGTCCCCCGGACGTCAGTCCCTAGTTGTCCCTCTCCAGATGCTTAGCGAAGCCCGCGCCTCCCACGGGGCTCCAGGTAACTCCTCAGCGGCCGACGCGCTGCGGGTATAGCGGGTGCTCACTGTCGCAGCTCAAGGGACTTTCCAACCGGCGCCGCCAGGGGACAGTACTCCCCTGACTTGGCCGGCCCCGACGGACACCTCAGGCCCCCAGTGTGCCCACTTCCCCTCCACGGTGACACCAGGCTCCCAAGGACGTCTCGTTCTAGGGAGGGGGAGCCCGTCTCCCCGGGACGTGCCCTCTGAGGCCAACCCAGGTTGGAATCGGGCGCTCCCACCCGCATGCCTCCGACCTGTCCACTTGTCCCTCAGTGCCTATCAGACCAAGCCAAATTCCCTGGAGTCTGGCCCCAGTCCTGTCTCCTCAACTCCCTAACTTTATCCCATGCTTCTGTCAGACTCGATTCTTGATATTCCTCTAACATGTTCTGGGACATTCCACCTCCCTGCCTTTCCTCATGCTGTTCTCTTGCCTGGTGTGCTGGCCCATCCCTCAGCGCCTGTCAGTCTTTCCGGCTTCCACATACCTTGACCTTTCCTGACCTTGGGGGCAGTATACACCCGGTACTGGGGAGACTTGGTCCCACTCATGGCCCCAACCCCGCAGATGAAGGCACAGGCCGAGTCACCTGTCCCAGACTCCCCACAGGAACTCCTCACAGGGGAAGCGGCTGGTAAACTCCAATTGAAGGAAGCTAACTTTAAGGACTTTCAGTAAGTGGGCACTGAAGTAAACTGACCCGCTGATTATAAGAATAGAATTTGTAATACTAAGGGCTTACAAATGGCCACAAGGGCAACAGCAGGGTTGGGCACTGTCCTCTCTATTCCTTCCCCCAATGTCAGGAGAATACACTTATTCCAGACCGTATATACTATGGTGGCCCCGTAAAATTATAATACTGTATGTTTACTGTACCTTTTCTGTGTTTAGATATGATTAGACACACAAATACTTACCAGTATTCAAGAAAATAACATACTGTACAGGTTTGTAGCCTAGAAGCAATAGGCTATACCAGATAGCCTAGATGTATAGTAAGCTATAGCAGGGGCGGGGAACGTTTTCATGTTGGAAGGCCACATTAATTTAGCTGTAATCAAAATAAGGCCACATTCAAGAAACTTCAATTAGATATGCTTAAAAATGTACATTATTTTGTAAAAATCTAACTACTATGTACTTAACAATTTCCAAAAATGAAAAGTATTTGTTAATTTTAAAGTTAACTTACCTTTTAATGACTTTGTTGTGTCTGTTTTTGCTGGAAAGCATTTGAATATTTGGTTGCAGCATGGAGGTCCACAGTTTCAGTTGATCCTCTAGATAGGTATCAGTCATTTCTGACACCTAAGGGTGTCTTGATTTGGGTTAGGTAGGAGAATGTAGATTTGCAGCAATAAGTGGTTGAAAAGGAAGAAAGCATTTTTCAGGCATGTTGCCGAAGGTGTGGGTATTCTACTGCATTTTTCCATTTTGCAATTGGGTCTTTCTTAGCATCGATGAGTTTAAAACATCATCTACTGAGAGCTCGATCCATTCCATCTGTAGTTCTTTAGGTGCCTTGGTGATACCTACTTGGTGAGGCTGAAATGCTAATTTGAGTGTGATGCCAGGATGCTCAAAGTCAGTGAACCCTCATGTGATTATGGAAGCTTAAAAAAAAAAAAAAAAAAAGTCAGTGAACCTTTCATTGTATTCTCCAATTAATAGGTCTAGAACAGCTGCATATTCTTCAAATGATTTGCATACATCATCCTGCTCATCAATGACCTTTGCTAACTGGGGAAAATGTTCATCTGAAATTTCCTTCTGAAGTGTTTTGAAAACAGATAGCTTTTTTCGAAATGTTTGGACTTTCTGCTGAATATCATATATAGATTTAATTTTACCTTGCAAAGAAATATTCAAGTCATTTTGATTTGACATGATATCACACAGAAAAGCTGCATTCCTATAGAACTCTTCATTCAATAATTCACATTGCTGATTCTGTTCTTCATAAAATTTAACTATCTACTCTCACAGAGATAAAATTTTGGCTAACACCTGTCCCTGTAATAGCCAATGCACTTTTTCTTTTTTTTTTTTTTTTGAGACAGAGTCTCACTCTTGCTGGGGCTAGAGTGCCGCAGCGTCAGCCTAGCTCACAGCAACCTCAAACTCCTGGCTTCAAGCGATCCTCCTGCCTCAGTCTCCCAAGTAGCTGGGACTACAGGCATGCGCCACCATGCCCGGCTAATTTTTTTATATATATTTGTAGTTGGCCAATTAATTTATTTCTATTTTTAGTAGAGATGGGGTTTACTCTTGCTCAGGCTGGTCTCAAACTCCTGAGCTCAAACAATCCGCCCACCTCGGCCTCCCAGAGTGCTAGGATTACAGGTGTGAGCCACCGCGCCTGGCCCAACCAATGCACTTTTGATATGGCAAATCTATACTGAATACCTCATCCTTCAACTTTAGCATGTTTTGATGATGCCATGTTGCATTTGTAGGAATATTGTTAACAATACTTATAACTTGTTGCAAAGTGTCACTTAAAATAGTAGCTTTAGCACAGAGATTTTGCTGATGCAAGATACAATAAAAAGAAATGAGAGCATCTGGATCTGTTAATACTTTTTTTTATCTGTGCAATAAACCCTTTAGGTTTCCCTGTCGTGTTAGGTGCACTGCCTGTACATACACTCACTAAATTTACCAAATTCAGTCCAACTTTATGACATTTATCTTGGAAGTTGTTTAAGATATCTATTCCCTGTGTTCTGTTTGCAAGAATGCCCAAAGTTAGTAACTCTTTGTAGCAAAGAAAATCTTCTGTTATGACCCAAATGAAGTATGAAACCTGTACCGAGTCAGTAGTATCAGTTGATTCATCTAAAGCAATTGAATAATATATATTTTCCTTTTGAAGTATTGCATGAAGTTGTTCTGTTAAGTTGAAGGCCAATTCATGCTGCCCATCTTTTATGGTTCTCCTTCAAAGAGGCAGTTGTTTGTACTTTGAAACATCCTGCAACTTGGACGATGCATTCTTTTACAATTTCTACATCACTGAATGGCTTCCTTTTTTTCCTGATTATATAAGCTACTTTATAAGTTGCTTCAGTAGCATTATTTCCAGGTCTTATGGATTGAAAGAATTGTCTTTGGTTTTGCTTTTCATCTTTTAATTTCTGCTATACAACCTTTCATGCCTCTCCCTCTAATTTAAAATATTTGTAGTCTTTATGAGTGTTATAGTGCTGATGAACACTGAATTTCTTTAATGTTGATATGGCAGTATCCCAAAGCAAGCAAATCATCTTATCTTCAGCAGAAACAAGATAATATTGCAATTCCTAATCTTCATTAGAAAATTTGTGTTCTTCCTTCAGTATTCTCTTGGTCTTCTATGACACGGTGGGCTGTTAAATAGACAGAATTTAAAAATGCTGTCAAGCTGTGCAACTATTCACAAATTCCACTTCAAAAACAGAAATATTACACCACTGTCAAAAGCTGATAACAGACTGGTGTACTTGACCCCCATAAACTCTTGCCAACCAGCCTCATGCAGTAGAGTGGGGTTTGGGGAGAATTAGAACTAAATCATGAGTGTAGCAGCCTTCAGTTTAGCCCTTATGGCTTACTAATGTTTTAATTGTGCCAGTCAACCTGGGAGTATTATTTTGTTGAAACTTATTTTATTTTTTGGTATCTTAAATATTTTCATTTTAAAAATAAAACTAACATATAAAAGATGAACAAAAATGTATTAGTAAAAATAAAAGGATTTGTTCTGTAAAATTTGGATTCAGTCAAAAGGCCACACTTGACCTAGAAGGCCACATGTGGCCTTAAGGTTGCAGGTTCCCCACCCCTGCCTGGGCTGCACCATCTACGTTTGTGTAAGTCCACTCTGTGATGTTTGCACAACAAAATTGCCTAAAGACACATTTCTCAGAATGTATCCCCATTGTAAAGTGGCACACGACTGTACTTTCAAACAGTGTTATAGCAAGTCAAGTTGGTGCCCAGTCTGATTCAAAAGGGCCTTCTGCAGCTAGGTGGGGATCTAACCCCCTCTGTTCAATTGCCTCTCCCATTTTGCAGAAAAATCCCCATTGAAGCGATCAAATGAACCTGGTAGGAAGAATTTCATATTGCCCCTAGAATCTCTAGAAGGCTGTTTTCATATAACAAAATCTTTAAGGGCATGAGTGGAGAGAGTGGAGCACGAAGGAGCCACTCACTGCATGCAGAGGGAAGCCCACCTGGGACCACCAAGTTCCACTCACACCACATCTAGAGGAGCGAACTAGAGGTGAGGGAAGTTCGCCCAGGAGTGGGTGAAATTCCTAACTTAGAAATTCGCAACCTTAGCAGCAGGCACGTGGAAGGGACAGTGTGCTGAATGGAGTTAGGACAGTGACAAAGTTGACCCCTACAAAGGATCATGGGCTGGTTGGAGAAGAAGTCACTGCCCAGGCAGCAGTTAGAGAGGGAGATTGGTGGCAACACATCAGACACACGGAAGAGTGACCCAATGTGTCATTTTTTTCATTTCATGTCCTATTTAAGAACTTACCTACTCCATGATCATGCAAATTTCCTATTTTCCTCTAGAAGTTTGAAAGTTTTACCTCTTACATTCATTTTGATTATGACACCATGGTGTAAAGTAAGGGTTATGATTCTCTTTCTCTTTTTCTTCTGTTCTTATTTGGCATATGAATATCCAATTGTTTCAATGTTCTTTCCTGAAAAGATCACT